GCCATGTGGGGGAAACAGCAAACATGGAAGCAGAACGTCTGACACAGCATCTCCACAGTGAAACATGGTGGTGGCAGCATCATGCTGTGGGGCACGGAAGCTAGTCGAGGCGATGGGAAAATGGAAGAATGAATAAATCCTAGAACCAAGCTAGTTAGAGGCTGCAGAACACCTGAGACTGCAGCCACAGAAACCCTTAAGGGCTGGTTATTAGTGATGTTATGAGATGAGCCGAGGCTTCGAGGCGTGTGTCGAGTAATGGAGGGGGCGTTTCCCGAAGCGCGTGCCGAGGCGTCATTCATTTAGAGGAGGGGCCAAAATTGATGACGTCCGAGGCCTCGCTACCGTGATACCATGTGACCGCTTCGCAAAGTGGTTCGGGAAGCGCAAGAATTTTGACCGACATCTAAACAGCCTCAGTGTTCAGTCAAGATGTGGGAGTTTGGAGGAGAGCTGCTGTCAGCTGGATAAAGTTAGGATAGATTCTAAGAACAGATTGGTTGTTTTTCTTTTACCAATCTAGTTGGTTAAAACTAATTTGGTTTGAATAAACAATGTAATGATCAAAATTTCATCTACATAGGTGGCGTCAACTGTAAGAGACAGTCTCTCACTCTTGAAGTTGATGGTTCAAGACCAGTCTTTGACTTTTGAAAGTTGCGATTAAACTGGTTGATGAGACTAATTAGCATTGTTTTTGCCCGAGTGAAAATATAGATTGGGTAAATTAGGTCGGTTTAGTCAAAAGATTGGTTGAACGCAACTTCCAACCTGATTAAAACCAAAAAAACGTGGAAAAACTATCATGTTTGAATAAAAATTACTAACACCTTTCATTTTGCTCATCATTGCTCATCAAAGTAATTTCTCTCTTGGATTATTAAAGTATTTCTGATTCTGATTGCCCAGTTTGCCCAATTTGCACAAACACTTTCACTGTCTGCTTGAGTTTATTTCACTAAAATGGCAGAAAAACTGTGAACCTTAAATGATTGATCTAAGAAATTTTAAATAACAAAAGTTTTTATTATATACACCAACCATTAACAATTTCAAGGGAACTTGAAAGGGGAAAAAAAGAAAAACAGTTGCAAAAAAAACACAGATTTTATTCAAACTTTAGTTCTGTTTTCCACCAGTAGGTGGTGACATGTTCACATGAAGCCTCATGAACTGTGGGGATCGTTGAAGCAATTTGGCCAAACGGTTCAATGCCTCATGAGGCTTCATCTCACCATCACTACTGGTTATATTCCCGCAGGAGTGTGTCGCAGTGAGCTTGTCGCAGGTATGACGCAGATATTTTTCATTTATGCCCATTTGATTTATTAAAGCGTGGTCTGCGCTGTTATTCCACGCAAGGACAATCACCAACTAGCTGTGGGTCTAGAATACGGCCGAGGCGGTGAGGAAGTTGGGGCAAGTTTGTCCGACAACGTAGGGCATGAGGGTGAAACAGAGCGGGGATCCAGGTGGAAAAAGGGGTCCCAGCGTTCTCGCGCACCTCGCTCTTTTAGCTGGTCCATCTTCACGAGTCGTTTTCCACAATGGCGGTCATACAAACAAAACAAGTCGGTAAGGTACCAAATAGGAACAGGAAGCGTAGAGCTGATGCAGATTTCCTCCTTTCTGCGGCACTGTCTGCGGTAACCTACAATTTTGGAGAGGTTCAGCAGAGTGTCTGCAGAAGGGGCGGGGCAAATATGCGTTATCTACGACACACGCAGACGACCTGGTTTCTGAGCATAAATCAGCCTGAAGATGGTTTAGATAGAGGAGATTCATCAATTTGGATGGCCTAGTCAATGTCCAGTACATAAACACAGCTGAGGATAGCTCGTTTGTAAAGAAATGTTTAGTCTGTAGATGTAAAAAGCTGCTGGAGATAAACCAGCTGAAGACTTGCAGCCTGAGAAAATTTTACAGAAGCTACATGATATTTTTCACCTGTACCCAATGCTGAAATACACACATCACCTTCCTTCCACGTCACAGCTCTACGTCATTCCCTGTCCGTCCAGTACTAACATCCAAACGTTTACATTTCCAAGGCAACGGATCACTAAAAAGGTTCTAGAGAAGTGAAAACTTTTTGAGGTTTCTGTAAAATTTAATTCTCAAAGGTAATCCAGCCCAAATGGTCCCACCACTGGACCAGATCAGCACCATCTCTGCTCTGCATCCTCGGCCTGAGAGGGAACAGACCCGTCGCCGACCAAACACTGAGATGTTCCAGTTGAGGATGAAGGCGATGATGGTCTGATGTTGGCAACGGTGACGGAGGATAAGGGGGGGGGGGGGGGGGGGGGGGGGGGGGGAAACTGGGCGTCTTAAGACAGGAAGTCACAGAGCTACAGACAGGAAATGGCAAACCCTGCCCAGCCCAAACACACACAGAGCTGCCAGCATTTGACGATCAGATGAAGTGATGAATTAATATTTACTTCTCCACATCATCTTGGGTCATGATAAGACTCTAAGCTTCAGCATCTGCTGTTCTGGGAGAGATTAGGGCCAGAAGAGACCGCAGTGAGAATAAAAGATGAATGATCCAATTGTTTCTTTGTCCGTACAGGGATATATTTAAAGCAGAAGCTTTCCTAACCCCTGTTACAGCTCAGGACCTCTCCTCAAGAAAGAACTTCCTGATAGGAACCCACCTAATTGGGCTTTAATGAGAGTTGACCCTCAGATCAAATCAGAGCCACTAAACTCCTTCCAGCAGGAGCTGAGAGTCCCCAGACCCTGTGGAACTGGGACCAAACTAAAGCAGGGTACCCTCCAGTTTCCTACTGATCTAAGTCCTATCTGTGCACTTGTTTCCAGCGAGTCCATTTTAATCTTATTTAAATGGTTTATTTAAACATATAAGTAAATAACTGATCTGGAAGGTTCTGAAAACTTGAACTGAGACAGAAAGCTGTGTTTTTAATGCTCTCTTCATTTAATAGCTGTAAAAATAACTAGACCATCCTCCTATCTCTATTTTTAAACATCCTTATCTTCCCTGCTCCATGTCAGAAAATTGCTTTTTAATTTTAGATTTAAGTATAAATTAGCAACAAGTGACTTTTATCTTAATGGTTCCAGAATAACTCTGTTTATATCAGACATCTCTGCAATCAAAAGGATTTAGGAAAAATCTTAGAACTATATGATAAACCATCTTGCCTTATATCCAGCTTTTTATGGTGAAACACAACACTTGTTGCCAATAGCAACAGGTTAACCATCATCTATCTCTTTGAAAAAATTATTTATATCCTTAATAACTATTTAGTAAATAAATCAAGGCTGGGAGTTCACTGGGCTTTTTATTTGGCCCCTGCTGGTTGGGGCCCCAGGCTACAGCGTAGAACATTCCCTAACTGTTGAGTCTGCCTCAGCCTTCATCCAGCCGTGTGGATGAGGATCCGAGCCGATAGCTGAAGAGTTAAATTGTCACTTTTCGGTTCCTCAGACCAGAAAAAAACAGACGCACAGAAGAGCCGAAGCTTCAGTTCTGGCGCAGATGATCAGAACTGAAGACAAACTGAACCGTTGCTCGTCTGCAGCTCTGATGTTAAACAGACACAAACAAAGCGGCAGCAGGATAGAAGCCTCAACTTTCTGTTATATAAACATTTGCTTAAAACAATTGAGATGAAATATTTAACATCGTTTCTATTTTGCTTTAATGACACAAATATAGATGCATTAGGAGCAACAGAACCTTTCTGGTTTTCTAATCTTTGATTAGTTCCAGCAGAGCGATTTATTGATTAACTGGTTTTACTGATTCAAACTTTTCCTAGAAATCCCTGAGAAGTGACATATTAATACATTTGTTTAAGTTTAGAGCTCATAAAGTTTTATTCATCCCCCTCTGACAGAGCCCAGTACGGAAGAGGATTAGGTCCACTGAAAAAAAAATAGTTAACTGATTTTTACATTTTATTTAAGTTTAGTATGGGAAAAAGTCAGAATTCTGACTTTTCTTTTCAGAATTCTGACTGTATTCTGACAATAAAAAAAGTCAGAATTCTGAGAAAAAAGTCTGAATTCTGAGATTAAAGTCAGAATTCTGAGAAAAAAGTCTGAATTCTGAGATTAAACTCAGAATTTTGAGATTAAAGTCAGAATTCTGACTTTTTTCCCATACTAAACTGAAATAAAATTTAAAAATCAGTTATTTTTTTTCCCCCCAGTGGCCCTAATCCTCTTCCGTAGCCCAGGCTCTTGGATGAAGGGAGGAACTAAAACCCATTTTCTGCTCCTTCGGCTGATAAAGATATGAACTGTTTGATTTTTCTTCTAATCTGAGAAGCACCACAAGGCTCAATGTTAGGAACTCATCTTTTTAAACTCTGACATGCTGATGATCTGCATGAATTCCTGTAAAAAAGGGTTTGGTTTCCTGCCAGGAGATGCAGATCATCCAGATTTGAAAGCAGTCAAACCAGTTTTTGAGTGTGTTCACACATTCCACTGGAACGCTTTGGGAAAAGGTGGACTTCAGGAGGAATCTCCTCCAGATCCGGACCTGAATCAGACCCTCTGCTTGGGATCCGGTCTGTCTCAGCTCCGATCAGGACGTTCATCTCAGCATCATCTGAGGACCAGCGGCTGGAAGCGGATCACAGAAAGGTCAAACTGATCTGACCCGATCAGACGTCATCGATCTGATCAGTGACGTCAGCAAATAAAGAGGCCGGAAGAAGCTCCGCGCGAATCAATCACGGTGACTGACAGCTGATCAGCATCATCGGCGCGCGGGCGCGACCATCTGCCTGCATGCTGCGGACATGTGTGCGTGTTTCAGTGTCGGTGCGTGTTTCAGTGTCGGTGCGTGTTTCAGTGTGGGTGCGTGTTTCAGTGTCGGTGCGTGTTTCAGTGTGGGTGCGTGTTTCAGTGTCGGTGCGTGTTTCAGTGTCGGTGCGTGTTTCAGTGTCGGTGCGTGTTTCAGTGTGGGTGCGTGTTTCAGTGTCGGTGCGTGTTTCAGTGTCGGTGCGTGTTCTCACGGTGTTCCGAAGGTCCTGCAGCGCTACGCTCATCCTGGAGCTGCGAGCCCGAAAGCAGCAGCGCTACGGCCGGCCCATCCTCCCGCCTGTCCTCTGCCTCGCTCTGACCTGCTCCGGGATCCGCGCTGCAGCTGGACCGGGACCAGGATCGGGATCAGGACGTGTTTCTGCTCTCTCCTCTCCCTCTGCCTCTCCGTGACTCCTCAGACCCCGCCCCACATCCAACCAGCCGCTTCCTCTCACAAACAAACACACCCCGAGACACACGGAGACTGACGTCATCACACGGCGTACGTCACCTCCTCCAGCTCCCATATCTATCTATCTATCTATCTATCTATCTATCTATCTATCTATCTATCTATCTATCTATCTATCTATCTATCTATCTATCTATCTATCTATCTATCTGTCTGTCTGTCTGTCTGTCTGTCTGTCTGTCTGTCTGTCTGGTTCATGATGATCCATTTCTGTCACAATCATCATCAGAACCAGAATGTTCTCTTGGATGTCCTGAAGCCCACATGTGTTTGTCTGCTTTTTCTCCACAGTAATCTGGATTCTATCCTGATTTCATTCTGGTTTTATTCTGTCTTTCTCCTTTCTACTGATAATTCAGTTATTTTTTCTTTAGTTTATTTTATCCTCATCTATTCTTGTTATATCTCAGATCTAGTCTGCATCTATGCTGTGATCATCAGAAAGAAATGTCTGCAAACTTCAGTGATGTGAAGGATGATGGGAGAAACATGAGGGAGGCAGGTGGTCCAAGGTGTTCAGCAGCAACTTGACAAAACCAGAGAGGTCATGAGCTGAAGGTGGTTCTTCCTGCAGATGGATTTGAACTTGCATCCTTTTTGATGCAAGGCCACAGCATGTAGCCAAGTGTTTGTGTAGAACTGAGCTTTAAGCAGAATAGTTCTTGAGAGTCTGCTTCTAAACCCAGGATCATACTTTTGAAAGTCTCCTGCAGCTGGTTATCAGTGGTAAAAATGTTCAGGACTGGTTGCTCCTCAGAATTCTGCTAAGTTCTGCTCAAAGCTTTGCATTTTATTTATTTATTTATTTATTTATTTATTTATTTATTTATTTATTCCTAACAGGATGGCTTTTACTATGTTTCTCTTTTAAACCTTGTAGAATTGTTTCCTGTAATTATCTGCACACGTGTCGGAGCTGTAGGCTTCCTGGAAAATGGACCAGGTGCAGCTCTGCAAACTGGTTCAGCAACAGGGGAGGAATGTGGGCCAGCAGGAAGTGTTAAAATAAAAATCCCGATGACACCTGAAGGCACCAGGGGGGGTTCCTCCAGGAGGCTGAGAAGTGCAGCTAAATCAGTAAAGGTTTCTGCTTGCAAGTCCTGCCCCCTGCAGGCGATAAACTCTAACTGCGCCTGTAAAAGATCTTAGATAACATGACTTTAAATCAAATTAAACCTGAATATGAGATTGGATCATAAAACAGTTTCACATATGTTTTCACATAAATTAAAATATAATTTTCTTATAAGGTGGACATGTTTTTATCCCAAAATATATATTTTTTTCAATTCAATTTAATTCAGTTTATTTCTATAGCACCAATCACAACACATGTCATCTCAAGGCACTTTACGGTTCAACCAGATCATCCAGTCAAATTGATTCAAAGTTTTCTATCAAAGGAAAACCAGTTGATTGCATCGACTCATTGACTCAAATACAATCCCTCACACTAAGCATGCTTGTAGTGACAGTAGAGAGGAAAAACTCCCTTTTAACAGGAAGAAACCTCCAGCAGAACCAGGCTCAGTGTGAGCGGCCATCTGCTGAGGCCGACTGGGGTTCGAGGAGACAGAAGCAGAGATACAAAAGCAGCTGTAAAAGGCGGCACTGTCCAGGAAACACACAGCCAGGCAGACGAGCTCTGAGCCAACTCCCATGTCAGAGGATGAAGAGATCACATCCAGCCAGTCACAGTCAGAGAAACAGGACTATACTGGAAAAACAGGTCAATCTCCAACATCTAGAAACAAAGGTGTTGACGGCAGCAGCACAGCTGATATTTCTCTCCAGGATGGAGTCACAGCCAAACAGGAACAGACCAGATGAAGCTACAATGAGAAAATGCAGAGAGAGTAAAACATTAGAGATTGAACTAACAGATTCTGCAGAGTGGGAGAATAGAGATAGATTGTTTAAGTCCTGAGAAGATTCTAGTAAAGAAAATCTGCTTCATAAAAATATGCCAGAGTTTGGGATGCAAAATAAAAATGGAAAAAAGGTACTAATAATAATAGTAAAAAAACAATTACCCTGAGTCCAGCTAAATACAATCATTTAGAGCCACAAATATCCAATACAAACACTTTTAATCATTTACAACTTATTTTTGTCAGATAGCAGCTAAAGGAACTCTGGTGCGATTTTAAAAAACCAACAGCTTATTTGTAATTTGAGGGTTTAAAATGAGGAAACATTTTCCTTATTCTTCCAACCCGAAGCTTCTAAACTGGTATTTGTTGTACTTCTTTCAAAACCATTTGTTCATTATTTATCACCTTTAGCCACTATCAGGAGCCAATGCTGGGGGCCCAAAGAGCCACTGAATGCAGACCCCTGGGCTGTAGGATTAAACTTACCTGATCTTTCTGTTTCCAAAAAGTCATACTGTGTTGAATATTGACTGATTATGATAAATTCCTCCATGGTTTATCCATCCATTATCTGACACACTTGTCCCAAGGGGTGCTGGTGCCTATCTCCAGCAGTCAATGCGAGTCCATCGCAGGGCAACACAGAGACAAACAGGACATACAACCATTCACACACACACACACACACAATCACACCTAAGGAGAATTTAGAGAAGCCAATTAAACTAACAGTCATGTTTTTGGACTATGGAAGGAAGCCGGAGTACCCGGAGAGAACATGCAAACTCCATGCAGAAAGACCCCAGGCCAGGAATGAAACCCAGAACCTTCTTGATGCAAGGCAGCAGTGCTACCCACTGCACCACTGAGCAGCCCCTCCATGGTTTAATGCAACATAAGTTAGAACCTGTCAGCAGATCACAGGTATTCTCCTGCAGGTTAAAAAAAAAGTTATTGCATGATGTTTTGTCCTACTGCTCCCTCTGCTGGTTTCAGATACACAGCACAGTCAGAAGACCAGTCTCCCTGGCTCTTCAGATAGGCCAGAAACCTCTGAAAACATGTAAACTGAAAACTCATCACCCTGCAGCTCCATCATAAGTTTATTCCTGCCTCCCCTCAAGACAGCTATCTGCTTCATCCTGTGGATGACCACAGCTAGAAGAAAAATACCATGAGGGTTCCAGCTGCTGACCAAGAAGGTCGGACTGGTCCAGTGCAGCCCTCCTCATGACCTGCAGGATGTCACATGCAGAGGGCAGAATGTTACAGGCTCTTCTTGGAGGTAAAAAGAAGACAGTTTAGATGTCAAACAGTCTGAGAAATTAGGCGAAGGCTCAAAGGTCACTTATGTTTTTCGTATTTTGTACAGTCTAGATGCATTCTGTGGAAAAGCACGTGGAATGAAGGTGGAACTGCCGCTGACGCATGTGACACACATTATTAGTGGAAGTGAAGATTAGTGACTGCCACAAACAGAGGAAGTGACAAATGCTTTGGTTTTTATTGTGAATTAAATAGAAATGAAACATCTGTTTTTAATTTCTTTTAGTTTATTTTTATGGCTCAGTTTTACTACACTTGTTGTGTCAAGAGACTTTAGATAAAAAAAAAAGTAAAATCCTTGGAGTCATATAGACAGATTCCAAGCTCATATATTCCAATTGATTCTAATAATCAAATAATGCATTCAAATTCAGTTCATCATTCTAACTCAATTCAATTCAGTTTATTTATATAGAGCCAATTTATAACGCGTCATCTCAAAGCACTTTACCAAGACAATTTGACTACATCATAAAGTCAGATTGATTAAAAGTTTTCTATCTAAGTAAAACAAGCTTATTGCACTGACTACCTCACATCAAGCATGCTTGTAGCGACAGTGGAAAGTAAAAACACTGAAAAACACGCCAAGCTTTAACATCTTTTAACAAAAGGTATTGATGGCAGCAGCACAGCTGATATTTCTGTCCAGGATTTTGACACAGCCAAATAAAACCGGGCATTGCCAGACACAACTGAACCATGCTAAAAATAGTACTAGTTCAACAGTAGGAGTTGCATGAGCAGAACACACCATCTGCCGTTTACAGTCAGCTGACTAATTTCATGGGTTTACCAGCGTGTCCGGCTTGGCAATTCATAGATCTCTTTACCTGTTCCAAACACAAACTTCTTCTCAGCCTATTAACAATAAATGGTATCAAAAGAGATGATGCTGAGGCCTACGCTGTCATTGAAATTTGGGCAGACGATGCAATCCAGTTCCTGAATATTATGGGGTCCTAACTATTGTTTGCATAATTCCTGCCTTGAGAGCTGTAGTATTGTGGATCACCGATAGTAGGCGAGCAATCGTGGTAGTGTGATGTGTTAATACAGTAGTAGTAAAAACCAAACTTGGCAAGGTTAACTAATCCAAGCTCGGTCCGAAGTCGGGCACAGATCGGTTTCAGAGGGGTAGTGTAAATGGGGCATATGATGAGAAAAAGCAGATAGAACATAAAGTTAGAGATTGAACTAACAAATACTGCATTATGGGATAATAGAGGTAGAATGAAGCAGAATGATGAAATGGGGGTGCCTATGTCCTCCAGCAGTCTAAGCCTATAGCAGCATAACTATAGAGATAGCTCAGGATAACCTAAACCACTCTAACTATAAGCTTTATCACAAAGGAAAGTTTTAAGCCTAGCCTTAAAAGTAGACAGGGTGTCTGCCTCATGGACTAAAACTGTTAGTTGGTTCCACAGGAGAGGAGCCTGATAACTAAAAGATCTGCCTCCCATTCTACTTTTAGAAATTCTAGGAACCACTAGTAAACCTGCAGATTGAGAGTAATGTGATCTATTAGGGATAAAAGGAACAATCAGATCTCTGGTACAAGAACAAGCTTGGTTGTTTAAGGCTTATTTAAAATGGGGAGCATCTACTGAATTTGTTACATTTTTATTGCAAGCAAAAACACAAGTTTATGTAAATCAAGATTTCCTAAAAGGGGGTGCTTAGTGGGACAATGGGTAGCAATGCCACCTTGCAGCCAG